ATTCGAAAACAGAAATCAGGTCGTACGCTATGATCTAAGAATATTCACAAAAATATTTTCAGTGCGAAATCCGTCTGACGTCTGGTTTTAATTCTGCCAACAGGCTTTGGAAAGAGTTTAATTTATTAAGTGTTTTGTCTGGCAAAGCTTTTCCGCTTTGAGTGTGTTGGTGATTTTGCCGCTCAATAGCATCACATCATCGAAGAGCAAGTCAATGAACTGATTGGGCTTGGCCTGTCTGCTGTCCATCTGAAAGATTGAAAAAAAAAAAAACGATGCAGACTGCATTTGGGCCTGATTCCCGCTGCTTTCTCGAATCTGGTAACCGAGTCTAAATGCATGACAGCCATTTCTGAACGAAAGTTTCGCCTCATTTTTGTGCGTTTCGCCGAAACGATATCTGTCGGAAGAATTTCAGAATTCGTTGACATCAGAACACGTAAGGCCTGACACCGAAATAACATTTTCTTTGACTTTCCTAAAGATAACGTTTCTTCTTGGCAAATCGGACATTTACTTGAAACGTTCCACAGAATTCAGTAAAAAATCCCGGTGTTATACATACCAGCTCTTTTCTCTCGGCATCCGCAAAATTACGGCTTCTAAATACGACCCAACAAAGACCCAAGAATTCACTAGGATTTGCAAAGATGTTCTGCAGCGATAGGATTCTTTGAGACTGTACGAAAACGTGCAAGTAGGAAAGTGCCTGCCACTTCACATTCCTGTCAATCCTGCCTGCAGGAAATCTGTTTTCCGACCCGTAACTATTTTTATCCTTTCTTTGTTTCAAGAGCGGCCTACCTCTCCTTCAGAGTCAGTCACAGTATCACTAGCACTAAAGCTGTGTACCTCTTTGTTAGGAGAGGTGAAAAGTAAAGTCTGCACGCTAGCCTAGTGGCTCATCAGACCGGAGAGAAATTCCATATTTACGCGCACCCATGTATTATCCTCTATATACCTCATGAATTCAACAGTGATCCGAATTTTAGCGACACATTTTCCAAACTCTCGGTTTTGATTCAGATACGTTTTTTGTCGGAAGAGAAACCAAGTTCTGTGACCCAACCGGCTAGACGACATTTTTACAACCCTGCTCGTTTGAACTTCTCAAACACATAATATAACTGAATTCTCGGTTGAAATTCTGCGTTTGAAATCTACGTAATAACTTTTAAAGTTACACTTAGAGATGTACCAAAATTAGTTGCAAAATGACCCTTTTGCCTTCTTCTTTTCACAGCTTCTTTGGCAGTTTCGCTTAACGTAGGCTGAGAGTAGGGTCTTCGAGTGGGAAGAAAGCCTCGCTACTTGACATGTGGAGCGATTTTCTTGAACACATCTTTCGGGGCCAGGCGATAATCAAAAGACGTCAAGATGAGGAATCCTATTAGATAGAGCTAATAAGCTTAGAAACTCGCATCGAAAATCACTCGGCCGGGAAAGGTCAAACTCTCTGGCTTTGTCGGTATTCTCTCTTCTAGTGCCCAGGATTTAGCGCGGCCATTTTTTCTAGCTGTTTTCTTTCTCGTCACGCACGACGGACTAAGCGAAAAAGGGACTACTCGTGGTCTACATAGGTAGGGTGGAATCCTATCAATCAATCGTTCAATCCATTAATCCATCAATCGATTCATCAATCGATAAATACGTTAATCGATGAATTGCTTTTCGTCATCTAACTTTAAGCTTTCAGAGCAGTCAGACGGTTTTATCTTTAAGCACAGGTGATAACTGTACTAAGGAATTAAGCATTCATCGCCTTTATCAAGCTTCCTATCTTTGGTGCCCTACACCTGATGGGATCATAGTAATTTTATATCCTCATAGACCGCATGTTTTAAGCCAAGAAAATAAATAGGTTGTAATGGTGAATGACTTACCTGTATTTTACCGTTGTCAGTGTTGTCGTATCTTTTCCATGCGCATTGCTTCCAATTAGCTCTCTCTCTCTTGGGTCCATGTTTGCTGCGTCTCCTTTCTCTCCCTTTGTTCCGATGCCATTTTCTCCCCTGAATCCTTTTGGTCCTCTCGGGCCAATGCTGCCAGGAATACCAGTATTTCCTTTGGTTCCCATTGAACCTCTTTCTCCTTTGG